CACTGAGAAGAGTCTGACCCCATCCTCTTGACACCCACCCTTTAGATATTGATAAACATTGATCAGATCCTCTCTCAGGCTGCTCTTCTACAGGCTGAACAGTCCCAGCTCTCCCAGTCTTTCCCCATCAGAAAGATGCTCCAAGCCCCTTCCTCATCCTTGTAGGATGGTAGGATGATATACAGCCTGTGCAGGCAGTGGTGGAGTCCCCATCCCTGGAGGTGTTCGAAAGATGTGTAGAGACATGGCACTTCAGGACATGGTTTAGTGGCCATGGTGGTGTTGGGTTGATGATCTTGGAGGTCTTTTCCAACCTTAATGATTCAGTGATTCTCTGTTAGATCAGGAGGCAGAAATCCCTGTGGAGCAGGGCAGTAGCAGCCATGGGATTTCTTGCAGATGTGGGTGGGGATGCAGGTGCTGGCTGGTCCTGTGCACTGGTCACCACCTTCCTCGAGCCCTGGCAGCATTGCTGACCCACATGTTCCCGCCATGCCCCTTGTTACAGCCCCCATGGCATTTTGATAGCACACCTTTTGCAATAGTACTTGCAGTGTTCCCACGTGTCCTAGTTTTAGCTGGGATAGGACTAACTTTCTTAGCAGCTAGAAAAGCTCTGGGTTTGGATTCAGTGTGGGGTTTGGGATGAGAAGAATGTTGGTAACATGCTGATGTTTTTAGTTGTTGCTGGGAAATCAAGGACTTTCCAACTTCCCATGTTTTGCTGGTCTGCAGGTGCAGAAGAAGCTTAGGTGGAGCATAATAAGATTAACAGGCCCAGACTGGCATTTGGAGATGCTGAAGGGATATTCCATATCATATCACATCATGTTCAGTATATTAATGAGGGTTGGCCAGAAAGCTGACTCACCCTGTCTTCCAGGCTTGGGGTTTGGGGAATTTCTCTCCTCTGGGATCACTCACCAGTAACAGGCTGGGCATTGGTCGGCGGGTGGTGACCAATTGCACTGGGCATCACTCATTTGTATATTCCATTATTACTATTATTATCATTACAATTTTCTTTCCATTTCAAGTTGTTTTTAGCTCAACCCATCAGTTTTATCACTTTGACCCTTCTGATTCTCTCCTCCATTTCCCGGCTGGGGAGGGTGAGCGAGCGGCTGCGTGGTGTTTAGCTGCCGGCCCGGGTGAAACCACAACACCACGGGAGCCCGTTGGTGACGCTGAAGGTGCAGCTCCTCTGAGCAAAGCCTGCCCTGCAGCGAGGTCGATGATTCCCAACTTTTCTTATGCAGAGAGATTTACATTTTAAGCAATTTGTTATCTAAAGCGTAGGTCAGTGGAGTTAACCAGCCATCTGCTTCACACACACCCATAGACCCCATTCCAAACATGGCTCTCCCCATTTGCATGCATGATTAGATGTGTTCGTTTGCTAATGAGGTCTCCCTCAGAAGTCAGGTCTGAAGGAGCAGAGGGTGAAAGGTCCGGGCTGTCGCGGTGAAGGTGCAGCTAATGAACAGCTGTGGAGTGAAGGACACAGATGGAAGAAGTACTCACTCTAATTACCATTTTTCAAAAAAAATTGCAGGTTTTTTTTCCCTAAACCCATGAAATAAGTGATTGCTTCCAATTCACTTGGAAAACAGAACTGAAAAACCTAGTGACCGGGTGAAAATACACCGTAAATATCAAGTTCTGTCCTACCTGAGGCTGGGGGAAGGGGGCAGGATAGCTGGGTCTCTGGGTGTGCTCCCGCCGGCGTGGGAGCTCAGGTGAGGAGGTGCTCAGGTGAGGAGGCGCTCAGGTGAGGAGGTGCTCAGGTGAGGAGACACTCAGGTGAGGAGGTGCTCAGGTGAGGAGGTGCTCAGTGCAAATAAAACCTGAACTCAAGGGTTTTTCCTAAGAAATAAAGCAGAAAACTGGGAAGTTTATGTTTTGTGATATACTGGGGTGTATTAGCAGTAGAAATTGCTGTGCAAAGCTATGACTTCCGTTCCGTTAGGGGTAACATAAATTATTATTTATATGCAATATTATTTATTATTAATTATTTTTCTAGCTGTATGTCACCAGGCGAGGATCCATCCCCTGCTCCCCCTCACTGCAGCCCCGCTGTCGTTTTTCTTGTGCCTTCCAAACTTCCCTTGTGTTTTCTCCTGGCTGAACAGCTTTCTGGCCAGCCAAGCAGAGGATGTGTCTGTAGATGTAGATTTGGCTTCCTGAAAACCAAATGTCATCTTTCCAATTTGCTATAGTAGGATAAAAAGACAGGGTAATTCTATTTATGGATTGCTACAGATACCATTTAAAAAAAAATAAATAAAAAGAAGCAACAACATTTCTTCTAGAAGCTTCCATTAATCCATGGCCATAGTTTTGCTCTGATTTTTGAGGTCAGATGGGTCACTGGGATGGCCAAGTCTGGGTGCTCAGGAGGAGGGAGGTGGTGGAGGAAGAGGAAGGGTGATGTTGTGCCTCTTAGTCATCTTTCTTCTTCCCTGGTGATTTTTTTTGAGCTTGGATCTCAGCCCGGCAGCGATGGATCTGTGAGCAGATTGTTGGTGAAGCCCTCAAAGAGGAGTAAATGTATTTCATAGGACAGAGCTGGTGCTCGCTGGTGGGTTGGAACACGTGAACATGGGCTTGGTTTGTGTGTAAAGCACAGGGTCTGGGTCAATATGGTGAAAATAGGGTATATTTTCCTTACTTTAGGGGATCCTGACAAGATCCTTAAGATCTTGATGAGTCCAACTTCCCATTACAATCAGCAGCTCTTGCTAATTTAACAGCAGGGTTATCAGTTAGCCCTGTATTTCCTTTTGTCAGCAGCAGCTTCAGAAGCATCCAGGAGAGTAGATGTGAATTATTCACGTACATCTTATGTGAATTATTCACATCTCTTGAGAGATGAGAGGGGATCTCATGGTAGTCTAGAACTTCCTCTCAAGGGGCAGAGGAGGGGCAGGCGCTGATCTCTTCTCTCTGGCCACCAACGAATGCCAGGAGCAGAGGAAATGGCAGGAAGATGTGTCAGGGGAGGGTGAGGTTGGCCATGAGGAAAAGGTTCTTGAGGCAGAGGGTGGTGGAGCACTGGAACAGGCTCCCCAGGGAGGTGCTCATGGCACCAAGCCTGACAAGATTCCAGCAGCATTTGGCCAAGGCCCTCAGGGACATGGTGTGAATGTTGGGCTTGTCCTGTGCAGGGACACGAGTTGGACTCCATGGTCCTTGTGGGTCCCTTCCAGCTCATCACATTCCATGATTTGATGATTCTGTTGTTGTCTCCTTTCACCTTGAGGTTGGCCATTGAATGGTCATGCTCTGTGTATGTAAATGGTAGGTACACCAATGCCTTTGCTTTTATACATTTAAAAACATAAAACATGTCTCATTGCTGGGTTTATGCTTGGACTCGATCATCTTAAAGGTCTTTTCCAACCCAAACGATTCTATGATTGTATGAAATGTTCAAAAAAACACCCCAAATTTTATGTGCATCCACAATTGTGGTGAAAGTTTTTCTCCCTTGCTTGTTGCAGGGATGACGTGCCAAGCCAGGACATCCTACACCGAGGACGAGGTGCTCTGGGGTCACCGCTTCTTCCCTGTTATCTCCTTGGAAGAGGGGTTCTTTAAAGTCGATTATTCCCAGTTCCACGCGACGTTTGAGGTCCCCACCCCACCGTACAGCGTGAAGGAGCAGGAGGAGATGCTGCTCATGTCCTCTCCCTTGATAGCACCTGCTGTGAGCAACAGCAAGGAGAGGAATAACTCGGTGGAGTGCCTGGATGGTCTCGATGAAGTTGGCACTAAACTCCCTTCAAAACTGCAGAAAATAACTGGGAGGGAGGACTTCCCCAAAAAACTCCTCAGGATGAGTTCCACCACCTCTGAGAAGGCCTACAGCATAGGGGACTTACCCATGAAACTCCAGCGGATCAGCTCGGTCCCCGGCAATTCAGAGGAGAAACTGGTATCCAAGACCACAAAGATGATGTCGGATCCCATCAGCCAGTCGGTGGCTGACCTTCCTCCCAAGCTGCAGAAGCTTTCGGGGGGTGGTGGCAGGATGGAAGGGAACCTTCCACCTAAACTGAGAAAAATGAATTCCGATCGGTTTACATAACCCGGTGGGATTTGCAGTCATCCCTCCAGAGCTCGGACCTGCTGCCGGCCAGGGCAGCGTGGGTGGGAGAGCCACCACCAGCCCTCCCTGTGCTCAACCCCCGCGGTCCCCGAGGCGGCGGGAGGCAGGAGCATCCCCTCCCTCGGTAGCGCCGGGAGCCCGGCCGGCGGGACCATCGGCCCAGCTGATGGTTGTTGGCATGTAGTATCACGACACGCATGCAATAATCGTGTGCAATCTCTGCATATAAGGTTTTTCTTTCTGGCATGACTCCTCCTCTGTTCATATTGTATATTCTGGAAACAAAACTAAAGAGATGGAGAGGGGCGTTGCTGTCCCCTGTGTTTCTGAAAGAGTTAAGTAGCAGGTCACACCTGCGAGTGGGTGGCTTTCAGGGTAAGTTCTAATCTAACTTGAAAACATTGCATTTTATTTTTTTCTGCTGTGGATCGTGATGTTTTCTTCAACAAAGTAGTTACAGTGCATGTCTTTTTTTTTTTTTTCTTTATTTTTCTTCTTTTTTTTTCTTAAAAGAAGGTACATCAGTTAATTCCTCACACCAAATCTGCTAGCCTTAAATTAACTGCTGGGTTCTATTTTGCTTTAACATCTTCTCGGGGGTTTCTTTTCCTGTGTCTAGGCTACTGGACAAAAATAAATTACTCTGTATTTATTTATAAGGTATTGATTAGAGCAGAAACTTGTGTTAATGAGCCTAGGCAAAACAAGAAATAAATGAATAGAATTCATACTTTTAGATACAATTAGTAAAAAATTTTTTTAAAAAACTTTGTGATTTATAAGACACGTGCAAGAAAACTGTTTTAAAGCAGCAGGAGGTGCTTGATTTCTCCTGTTGGTAGAATAGCTGAACATGAGAACAGCTGAATGTCTCCATGAAGCCACACCGGCGTTTCTCCCCGATGAACTGCACCCCAAAGGCAGAGTCACCATTCCGTGCAGCTCCCCAGTGCCCAGATTTTGCTCCCTCTTGCTTTGGTGGCCCAGGTGGGCCAGTGACCACGCAGGTGATGGTTGCCAGAGCCACTGCCGGTGGCATCGCTCCTTACGGCTTTCTCTGTGGTGAAAAATAATATTTAAACACGTTCTCCACTGAAGTTGACCCTGTGGGTTTCAAAATGAGTAATACTTGGTATAAATGTTTGGGTTGATGTCCTTCTGGTTGGGTTGCTTTGCCATCTCGTTTTGCTCCGGTGTGGTTGAGCCCAGGAGGGTTGTGTGGGTGTCCCCATCATTGTGTGGGTGTCCCCATCATTGTGTGATGCTGGAGCACCCTGTGCCACCCAGGACCCTCCCCAAAAAGCTGGAGGTGGGTGTTGTGTGGGCTGTGCTTGGGGGTCAGGTCACCATGGCTTCCTGAGGGCTCCTTCTCAGAGGAGGACTGGATGAGGTGGAGCGACGGATGGCACCATCAGAGCACCGGGTACAAAAGCCACCAGGAAAAGGGCTCAGCGTGACATCGGCCGTTGTAAAACCCTTCAGACCACAGCTGATGCTCTCAGAGATGGACACAACGTGGGTCCAGAGCTGCACATGTAGCTGTGGTCATGGACGGGCACTTCTGGACCATCCTACGTGAACGTTGAAGCTACACAACTAACACCAACAGAGCTGATGGGCTCTGAGGAACACGTCATTGTTAGAACTGGAGTCAGAACTCAGCAGCTCAGCTCTGCTGGGGGTTGGCTCAGAGCTTCCCCTGGACGTTGTGGTGTATGACCCGTTCCTTGGACACCCACTGTACTGACTTCCCAAGTTTCTGACCATCATTCATCGTGATTTTGGGGTGGCACTGCATGCTTTTTACACCTTTGGCTAGACTTCAGTCCTCTGCACGTCGTTGTTGAAGGGAAGGGCGTGCGTTGCTCCCTGCCTGCTGGTCCCGAGCTCCACACCCGTGGTCAGCAGATTGCTGATGTGGCAAGGTCAAACCTGGACTTCTTTTCCCTCCACTTTGCTAACACTTCCTCAGGTTGTCTTGTAAACTACTACTGGTTTTTGTACTGCATGTAACTCTCCTACCAGTCCTTGACTGACAGCAAAAATAGCCATGGACCATTGCCAGGTGTCACCAGGAGAAACACCACCCAGTCCAAACCAGAGAGCCAAGAATGTTAATTAATGGGCATGGTGAACCCTCAACGAGCAGCACAGCTGAGCCATGATGAGTCCTGCCAGCAGCTCTGGTTTGAAAGAAGGATCTCCAGCAGCTTCACCTCTCCTCAAAACCTCCTGTGGTTTATTCAGGGTGGCTGGGTGACCGTCACCTCCTTCTTAGGATGTTGCCAGAGCGTGACCCAACCAACCCACTGCCATTGGGTGACATGGCTGTGGTGCTGGTGTCCCCAGTTCAGTGACTCTGGTACAAAAGCATGGTTGCAAGGTGGGGGTCTCCTCCCTGGGACATTGGGGTCCCAGGTCCCCCACCATCAGTTTGGGGGATGGCTCATGGTTCAGTATGGGAAGTAAATGTGCCATCTCCCCAGACTAAGAGCAACGGTGTTTGAGCTGGGGCCACCAGCACCATCCATCCCAAAAACCCTGGGGAAGGGGCTTTTTCCTTTGGGAAACCTTGGGTTGGGTGTGTGTCCAGGACTGACTCACGCAGGAGCAGGGTGGGTGTGTGTTCTACAAACTGAGCTTCAAAGAGGCGAGAGGGAGAAGTGTCACAGCTGTAAAATCCACCGGCGGGCTGAGGGGCTGCAGCTCACTCAGCAGCTGGGTTAAAAAAATAACCTGAAATTCTGTGAAACACTGGGAAATATCCTCACGTTTATTAAATCAATGCCATAGAGAAGATTCAGTTATGATTCACTGAAAGCAAATATTCAGTTGTGATTAAATATTAAGTGACGAGTTTTATCTTTATTAGCAATTATTAAGTTATGATTAACTGAAAAGTTAGATTTTATTTTATTTTTATTTTTTAAATCAAAATATGCACCTGTCCTTGCTGGACACAAGGTTTCTGAGGCTTGTGGCTTGGATTGCAATATGTTAAGGTGACAATATATGTGGGGGGGGGTTTTTTTCATTAATACGAGTGAAAGTCCAAACCCGAATGATTTTTCTTTAGTTACTCATTTTTAGGAAGTTATTTCTAGTTAATATTTCATTTTTATTGGTGTGACCACTTGTTTTGGTTGGTTTTTTTTTCCTCCAAATTAACATTTTAGCTCAGCCCTCACGCTTAGGCTAAGAACAAAAAGTAGCTGTTTGATGGCACAGCCGGTCTGTGTTCTCTGCTGCTGAATTTATGCTTGAATTATATTGTAAATTGTACATATTCGGATTAGAAGAACCTAAATGCAATTTCTGGCATGCAGTCTCTAACTGTATAAATGTACAAGTTGATTTGAATTATATGAGATAACAAAAACCTCTTGTATTCATTACTACTGCAGACTGGGTTTTATCTAAAGCTATATTAAACTTTCAAACCTTGTTCAGTTTAAATGTGTTTATCTTTTATCCAGCCCACTTTTTAGTGCTTTAATCAATGACTCTTTATAAAGAGTATGATTATAAATGCCTCAAAATAAACTCTGAAGCTGTTTAAGGGCTTCTGAGTTCACCTTTAGCGTGTGCAAAAGGCCAAGCTCTTGATTGCTTTTAAAAACAGCCAAAAAAAACCCCAAAACCTGGGTTTAGTTGAGTGGCACTTTTGGGGTCTGTGGAGCTGGTTTGGCTGAGCCTGGACCAAGGTACCCCCTGAAAACCGATGGGTTCTCCAGTTCAGGCAGCCCCAACACACCAACGTCCCACTGAATCTTGGAATTTTCCATTAATTTAGGAAATGCCCATTAATGAAACTTAGGAATAAATGAAATTAATGCCCATTAGTGAAATAATGTCATTAATTCCCATTAATGAAATAATGACATTAATTCCCATTAATGAAATAAGGAAATTAATGCCCATTCATGAAATTAATGCCCATTCGTGAATTAATGAAATTAATGATGAAATTCCTCCGTAGCACAGAGGCAGGGGAGGGCTTTTTCTCTCTGCACATTCCCAGAGAAGTGGGAATTTTTAGCGTTATCTCCCCATCCAGCCCCCCAGGAATTAAAGCTCCAGAAATCCCTAGAGGCTGTCAGCTCTCACCTGGTTAGAGCAGAACTTCTGCTTTGGTTTTTACTCTGAACTGCCCCGTTAGTTGCTGGGTATCACCACTCAGAGTGGGCAAAGTGTGTTCTGTGCTAACAGAAGAATAAAAGAGTGACCAAAGAGGAGTGACTTGGTAGGGAAGTTGACCAAAGATAGGCAGGTGGTGGTGGTGCCTCAGTCATCCCACAGCATCAGGCACAGAATGTGTTTGGATTTATTCCCTCAGTTGTACTTGAACCAAAGGGAATTTGCAGTGTGTGCTTGGAGATGTGAACACTAAATTGTGGGCAGGTTTTAAATCCCAGAATGGCCTGGATTGGAAAAGCCCTTTAAGATCATGGAGTCCAACCATGAACCCAACACTGACCAGTCCCCTGTGACTAACCCATGTCCCTCAGCACTATGTCTACACGACTCTTCAATCCCTCCAGGGATGGGGACTCCACCACTGCCCTGGGCAACCCCTTCCAATGCCTCAGAACCCTTTCAGCAAAGAAATTCTGCCTCACATCCCATCTCAACTGCCCTGGCCACAGCTGGAGCCCATTTCCTCTTGTCCTGTCCCTTGGGCCTTGGTTGAACAGACCCACCCCCACCTCTCTCCACCCTCCTCCAAGGGACTTGCACAGAGCCACAAGGTCTCCCCTCAGCCTCCTTTTCTCCAGGCTCAACACCCCCAGTTCCCTCAGCCACAAGGGAACTCAGCACACTTGTGCTCCAGACCCTTCCCCAGCTCCGTTGCCCTTCTCTGGACACGCTCCAGCACCTCCATGTCCTCTTATTTTCCATGACTTGGCTCAACTCACAGCTTGAGCACCTTTTCCTTCTCATTCAGCCCAAGTGTCCCAACACCAGCAGCTCTATTGCCT